TGAATAACATAGCCATGGCATCCGCAGTGTAGCGGACACAATCGCACTTTTATCCACCACATCGGTGCATCTTTTAACAGTGAGGCAGACTTGTTCCTTCATTTCTGTCTTCATGGCTCTTCTCATCATTCTCAGCGTCATCTCCTTCATCGTCTTGTTCTCGTGGTTCCCTAGGCCGCGACATAGCTACAGTTGTAGATCCACTACAGCGTAGCTGCTCTTCCAACTTAGCTGGTTGCATTTTGTTGAAGTCGAACATCTTCTTTCGACAAAGCCTTATTAAAAACACATCAACAGGCAAACTAGGAGGCAGACAAAAAACTCCTATTTGCAAACAACTGAATACTAAATTATCACGACTTGTGAGCAATTTTAGAATGCAATAAAATCCTAGTATAACTGTCAAGCTCATCACAACTAGTCGTGAACTTTAAACGCATGTTTAGTCTAGTTATAATCCTCAAAACTATTACTTATATTTGATTTGAGAAGCCAGAATATATAATATACATCTTCGAGGAGAAAGATAAAAGAAAGATAAATTGTGATTTGATTTCTCCAATTACATAAAAATAATCAAAAACTAAAAAAAACATCTTTAACAAATCTCGGACTAATAAATATATGATCGCAAATGCAAAAATAGCATGCAAGTATTCAATTAGGCAGTGGACAAATTTTACAATCGAAAATGTCATTCTAAATTAAGTGTGTCAAGATTGGAACCAACCGTAAGAAGGCACAGGATGAAAATGTAGAATCATATTATCAAGCAAGTGAACGAAATTATGCTTCTAAATTTACGCATCCACATGTGCGAATAGAGAAACGTACAAGTATAAATACAGACAAAAATGTTGTGAATCTGCATTCACGAACTTTCGTCGTTTATGTATCTAGCCAAATTTGTTTGTGTATAGTTGGACAACAGGAAACTTATGAAGTAAATAAATGTAAGGAATTTATCAATAGTGTGTTTTGACGATATTTTAATTCAAGATACAATACGACAAGAATCATTGATCAAATCGCTGTTATGATATTTGCAATTATCGGTAAAACAGCATTTGATCTTGTTTAAAGTGTGCTTAAACTTAGTTTCATGTCAACTAGCTTTAAGGCAGTATCAAATCAAATTGCTCAGCCATCACTATCGAGAAAAATGGTTATCAAAGTAATATAGGTTACGAGAATTATAGATTGTGAGAGAGAGACTGACAGAAGTTTCAACAACGAATGAAAGACTATGAGCAAGTATTCATGTTTATGTATGAAAATTTAATAGTCTATATTTATGTCTTGCCTTGAAGAATTTTTTCGCTCACTGATACCCATAATTGACTCTCCTTGAGTCTGCAAGCGGACATTGATGCATTAATGTCATTTTGACTCGTGTTTGTGCGCAACTTATGTTAACAAGAACAGCGGTGCAGCAGTGAGAGAAGAGACTTCAGCGCCAAGTCTGAATAAAGTTATTTGTTTGGCAAAATGGAGCGAATGTGTGTGTTGGGGGTAGGAGATGAAGCAGGAAATCTACGGCTATGGCGTAGGCTGATGCTTGCTTCGCTCCGCTAAGCCAACCAAAAAGTAATACAACATAGTGCACACCAGGCGGGAAGTCCTGTCTTTCTCCATCGTCGGATTGAACTCGGATATATCGAATAGGCTGACACAGGATGACTGGCCCGCCAGCCTGCAGAGCTGCAGCGCTGCCTCAGCCGTCAAACCGATCGGAGAAGGGCAGCTGACGCCGGGACAGTCAGCGGCCCGAATCGCATCGATGTCAAAAGAAAAGAATACCTTGACACATTAAGCAAGGCACCCGGCAACAGTTAGGATGGGAAAGAGGAAGGGGAGAATGAGAGGTTGAAGATTTACTTTCATTCGACTATAGCATTCAGCCTACAAATAGCTAAAAATCGTAGCAGAAAGTAAAATATCATTATGAATTAGTTTACACAAAAAATCGACTCTCAAAATTTAATCGTTTCTATTGCCTGATTACCTTAAAAATAATCTCGCCAAAAAGACTCAAAATTTTCTCATAATTAGATTAATGAATCTTAAAACTCAGGAGTGAAGCAAAATGGCGCTAGTGTATCATGAAGTAAGGGCTACTAGAGAGCCAGTTTGGATTAACATTTCAATTAATGTGAGATAGTTGTTTAGAGAAAAATTTCACTATATTAAAATGCATTAATAAAGCCCAGGAGGGCAGATAATAATCAGCATGATGCATTAAGGAGAAAAGATCCCAGGCGTGTCTTGATATTGAGTAATAAGCTTCCACATGATGAGGTAAGCTAGAAAAAAATCTAATATTTAAGAGTCTTTTGAAATGTGTGTAATAAAAGTTCGTGAAAAGGATAAAATAAAGAAAAAGAGAGAAAGAATACAAATATATAAATGAGAAGAAATAATTAAACTTTTATGCATTGTGAGATACAAGAGATAGTAAAGCAAATAAAAGTAAAACAGAATAAAATAATATTCGGCTTAATAGAGAAGGCACTATATTCCTAACATAGACATATTTAAGTTTAAGGCCAGATGTAATCGGTGCATTGTTTGGCAATCTTACTTCCATAATTTAATCAAAGGTATGAAGACTAAGATGGTGTGACCTTTTGTGTGATCATTTCCAGAAACGGACCGTGTACGTGGTACATTCACAGACGTTTCACCGGCATCGTCAGTGAGCATTGCCAGTCTTAGCACCACATGACAACTCGTCAAAGAGACAAATGAAGCAGATCCTTTAACCAATTGTCTGCTAAACCGTTGTGGTATCGCTCCTTCCGCTCTGGGCTAATCGCCAATCCTATATCCTCGTGTCACGCCTTCGCAATCACTATTTTTACTTGCTTACTTAAATGTGATATAGTGAACCCTTTTGAGTGGATTTGATGAGAATTCTTCACACCCCACGTTGGCTTTCTCATCCCTTCACCCCTCTTCACCCATGTGCTGGGAACGTTTAGCAGCCTGCCCTATTGTTACGCAATCCTCCTTCCATAGGTCTTGAGTAATTATCATGGTCAAGCCTTTGCTTCATGGACCACGTTTGTGGTAAAACAGGCCTACTATTAAGGATTTGAAGAAAAACTGGGTTTCGAAGAATTCCTCAATGAAATATTCTAACATGACTCTCCATTTCGAAGGGAGAGTTGGTTGAAAGGAATTCTTGATGTGGTCTCACCGGAAACTGAAGGGGGATTGTTGCGTAAGAGAGACTCTTGAATTGGGCAAGGAAGTCCTCGGCTCACCGTTCTGCGACCCCGATGAAACTTTGCTAAGCTTACGTCTGTACTACCGTGACAGACATCATCAGAGCAAGTTTCTATACTTTGCGAAATAGAGCAAAAATATACTAAACCTAGAGAAAAGATGGCTGTCTACATTCCTAATCGCTTTTTTCGTACACCCAACATCGCTTCCTTTGATTTGGTTGGCTACTTCAACCTTACTCCACATGCTTGCAGATGAGTGAAATTAACTTCCAGAACCGGAAATGTGTTCGGTGGAAGCTGTTCCATCACACAAAAACTAGCGTACGATCGCCTAATGCTGCATCATGTTGTGTGTATGTAATACTCATGTCATGGGTAGTATGATAGTCACTAGCTAGACACTAGACTAATACAGCCTCCTTCTCTTGCTCACTGGCTCTTGCTGCACCCACTCTCTCTCCCTTTCCTTAAGTCTATCCAACAGCCGCAAATAGTTGCTACTTACTTTTCTACACTCGTTCCTCCTGTCCCCGACGTTGGCTGTTTTGTTACTTCCTGTAGACTCCCTCCTAATCTTACGCTTTGACGTAAAGTCCCAGTAACCCGCAAAGCTTTGTCTTTGCGTGTCCTGTCTTGCCAAAATGTGCTCAGCTAACTCAGATTTGTGGACCCACGGACCTTTACAAGCGGTTTTGTGTCCACATAGTCACTTCTGAGTGAGTCGGCAGGTCTGTCCAACATAAACCTCGCCACATGAGCACAAAACCTTGTAACGGACTGATCTAGAAAGAGGGTCTGAATATTCTCTAAATGAAGGACAACAAGAGAAAGTGTTGATTTCTCTTCATGCATTGTTTTTATGTTCCATGTTCACTGTAGTTCACCTAACTTTTACACAAGCTGACCGGATGGCAAAATCAAGAACTGAGTAGAATTGTCCAATTGTCTATCCTGCGCCTGATTGCAAACTCCCTTAATATTGTTAATAACAATTAATATGTAATTGTCTTCGAAACCCAGTTTTTCTTAAAATCTTTAATAGTAGGCCTGTTTTACCCCAAACGTGGCCCATAAAGCAAAGGCTTGACCATGACAATTACTCAAGATCTTTTGCCTCGAATTAGTCTTCCAAAGGCAGATTGTGGGAAATAATGTCACGAGTAGCACAAATGGGGTGGCAGGAGTCGAGTGAAATACTTGGACCAGGGAGAGAGCAGATGGATTCTACGGGGCAAGAGAGAGACTCTGATAAGACCTATGGAAGGAGGACTGCGTAACAATAGGGCAGACTGCTCAACGTTTCCAACACATGGGTGAAGGGATGAGAAAGCCAACGTGGGGTATAAAGAATTCTCATGAAATCTACTCAAAAGGGTCCACTATACCACATTTAAGTAAGCAAGTAAAAATAGTGATCGTGAAGGCGTTACACGAGGATATAGGATTGGCGATTAGCCCAGAGCGGAAGGAGAGATACCACAACTGTTTAGCAGACAATTGGTTAAAGGATCTGCTTCATTTGTCTCTTTGACGAGTTGTCGTGTGGTGCTAAGACTGGCAATGCTCACTGACGATGCCGGTGAAACGTCTGTGAATGTACCACGTACACGGTCCGTTTCTGGAAATGATCATGCATACAATGGACTTCGGACTTAGTGCATTCCTTAAGGTCTTCCTGCCAATATAACCAAGTTGCGAAAACAAGGTCAAACAACATAAGGCCTAGTCTTTCTTGAAATTTAAGTCTGACACGTAAACGACGGACAGCGAGGTGGTAGCATGTCGAAATTATAAGCTTCACTACCCGAGCTCACATCTCGTTGGGGCTGCTGATAAGACACAGGCGAGGTCGAACCTGCAATCCAGTCTAATCTGGATGAGACAAGACACAGGAAGGAGAGAAACCACAAAATTCGAACACAACATTGATCAAGAGGATTGCCATGGTGCTAAGGACGACACCTATAACTAAAAATTTTAGCGAACCGTCTGGGAATGTACCATGTAAACGGTCCGAAGCTGGAAATTTTTATGGCTATTAGTGAAGAGGACTTAGGACCTAGTATGTTCCGCAAGGCCAATCTTATGTCCTGACTAATTGTCGCAGAAGTCAAACCCAAAATATATATTGATAATAAACGTTTTGTTTCACAGCTATAAGGATACTTATTGTCAAAGAGGTACTTGGATTAGCTTTTGTAGTGCAATGAGCTTAGGTCGAAATGAAGATATGGTCTGATGCATGCTATGAATTTCACCTCGTGATTTATTGCAAAGCTGTTGTCTTTTGGGCCAGATTGCTGTTTTAACCTCGTCTCATCGTCTCATCAGCATATCCTGTTGGACGCTAGCCGTGAACTTGCGGATTAAAAGGCAAAATAACCCTAGTTATATGATAATAGACGATAAGTATATCAGTTAAAGCAAAGAAAACCTCTTTCAGCTAGCATAACTTTGCGAGCAATGTTGATGTAGTCCTTAAGGTATCTAACTTGTAACCCACACATCCCTCATTCGAATTTCGCTCCGAGTGGTGATGATAAGATGAGGCAAAGGTGAAGCCACTGTCCAGCCTGAGTGGGAACAGCCATTTTGGATGCATGCCGAAGTGGAATTAAATGCAAAAATTAAACTGGTACAACTTTGCAGAAAAGTTATTCTGTCTGACAGATTAATTAAAACAAAGCTTTTCTTTGTATCTCAGAGTCCGGCCTAACGAGGCGCCTGGTATGAAGGCTCTTAGCCAACTCATCTCCATATAGGAGAGGTCATTTAGATAAACGTTCTATTTGAGTAATCAAGCGAAGAAATTTTAGACTAGCGTCTATATGCAGAAGCGGTTACGAATCATGAAGTCGGATGGCGGGCTGTACCAGTAGAAAGCATTTCTTTAAAAATAATCAGAAACAAAATTGAAAAGGTATTCAAGATATGAATCTCCTGAGACAACATTATTGGTTAGAAATTCATTTCGTATGAAAGTGTATGAAGAAGAAATTCGAAGGTCGATTTCACAAGAAGAGGACAGTTGAATCCCGTTTGGCTTTTATACGACGTTGAGATTGACGCAGTCCGCAAGGCATCCTCCCTCACTTCGGGTGAAAACAGGCTGAGCTTTTGTCCATCAAATGATGAAAATCATCAGAGCTGGGACTCATTTTTGTAAAATTGTCAAGTTAACACTAAGACAAGAAGACTATCCGGCTCTATCTTACGTCTTGTATAATCTTATTTAAGCAAAAGAGAATTTAAAGGCATACATCATTATAGAATGGTTTCGTTAACTATCTATATTATGATCGCTTTCTTTTGGATGGCGGTTCAACATCTCTCTACTTTCAATCTATCAATCAAGGATAAGTAGTTACTACTCAACTTTATACCACCGTTCCTTACATTCAGTGTATTTCCTAAGCTATTAATTTCAATAGCATCTCTCTACTCTTTCTCTTAACCACAGACGTACCATAATCAGCAAACCTACTAGTTTGAGACCATTCTATCTCGTGTTCATTCTCTGTCCTGCGTGTTCGGCTACTTCTGACCGTTGGACCTAGCTTCCTTTAAAAGCATTTTTGTGTTGTCCCGATCTTTGTCGAACA